TAGTCCACTGGTGCCTGAATGAGAACAACTTTTGGTAAAGCAAGGCTATGTGAAATTGAATGGAAACGTCAGCTCAACTCATATCATTGTAGGAAAATTCTACTACTAGTCCTTCATCACCTTAGACGAAATAGGGTGAATACATCTGTTCCATAGTATGAGACTCTTGGGAGAAATTAGTATTAGTAAGAGGCAAGTAAAAGCTAATAATATTTCCCTTTGTGGTTTAAAGGTGTGGCCTTTGATATTCCTAGGTCGAATTAAGGAAAAGATTCATTTTTACTTTGCTATTCCTCATACCCTATTCCATTATATTACTGAGATGCGCTGTTTTGTAGAAAAATTGGGTTAGGCAGAATCGCTTAATAGATTGATGTTGGGGTGTCTTTCATTTCGTTTGAAGAAGCGAGTAGAAGGCATTCGTTAGTTAGACATTGTTTGACCTTGTTTTCGCAACATGGTCATATTGGTAGGAAGACTTAGAGGAACGCATCTTGTCCGGATTCCATTCTCTGCATGATCATTTCCAATTTTTCCCAAATGTTTCGCCGGCATCGTCAGTGAGTATCGCCATCCTAAGCACCATACAGCTACACGTCAAAGAGACAATTGAAGCCGATCCTTTGACCAAACGTGTGCTAAACAGTTGTGGTATCTCCCCTTCTGCCCTGGGTTATTCGCGTTTCCGGTAGCATCCTATCATGCCCTATCAGAGGTGGAGCAGACGGATTTTATGGAGCAAGAGAGAGACTTAAATAAGACTAGAAAAGAGGACTGCATAATAATAAACCAGACTCTGATTAACATTCCCTGCACAAGGATGAAGGGGGGTGGCGAGAACGACAGATGGAGTGTGAAGGTGTCATGTTGCTCAAAAGAGAGCACCACACTATGTCTTAATAAATAAACACAGTGCAAATTGTAATAGTGAAGGCATGATAGGATGCTACCGGAAACGCGAGTAACCCAGGGCAGAAGGGGAGATACCACAATTGTTTAGCACAAGTTTGGTCAAAGGATTGGCTTCACTTGTGTCTTTGACGAGTTGTTGTGTGGTGCTGGGAATGGCGATACTCACTG